ACAACAATTTTAAAAAATCTAGATTGAAAAACAGGGCAGGACACTTTGAAAGCCTCCACAAAATTAAATTGTCAGAAATATTCTAGAAATGTGCGTGTAATATTATTATTTTTTATTCATTCGTTTTGATCTCGGGATCAAACACGGATAAGCAGTGCTGTTTTTGGTCTTGCATAACGAAGTAAAAATTTACATTTGTTTTCAGCGAGACATTTCTCCCCTTTCCAAACAAAATGCTATGAACATTAATTTAAAGTTGTTTAATATTGAAGCTCGTATTATTTTTAGGTACACTGAATGCTTTTAATATGTTTAAATCATAAAAAAAACTCCAGTTTCATTTCAAACTATGGACGTTTTGCAAGTACTGTAATTACTGATAATTATTGATATTGGGACACGCTATTTATCAAGACAGCGAACTATTTGTCTCTCTGAATTCCCTACAATCAAGACATTGATAACTTTTTGAAACCATTTATTAAATCCAATCTATTATATATGTATTGTTTGAAACTCAACGTGATGATAATTCGTCGTGTTTCAACAGACGATATACATTTGTTGTGGCTGTCGTTACGGTTTTTAAAAACATTTTTATTGGGCGGGGGGGGGGGGTTTAAATTATTATTCCTATTCGTATCCTCTTCGTAGAATACATATATCGCTACAATGCACCTCCAATTTGTCTGCACCTTAAACATGGACATGCATGTGAGATGTATTCCCTGATCACTTAAAAAAGGTTTATTGTTATTTGGGTAGGTTTTCTCCACATTTTATTATCTTAAAGACACATTACTGAGGGCTGTGTCTTTCAAATCTAACGCACGGGAATTTTTGAAAGTCCTATTGTATTTAATTTTCGATAACAAACTGAATTAAATAGATTTCCAACTTTCTTTGACAACATTGTGATTAATCTATATATATAAATATAGGACTCAGTTTCTGCGTCATCGATTACGAATTCGTGTATGAAGCGGTAATGAGAGTTAATCGTCTTATTGATGTACGAACAAAATTTAAATTAGGAGTAGCAGTAATGATGATATAGTTTAACAGTTATTTTGAACTCCCAGCGTACTTCATGTTGAGGTTGTTTTAGGCATAATTAATAACCAATTAGCCATTTATGATCGACACGGTAATTGATTTCAAAGCAAAATTAGTATAAGTTCAAAAAGTTCATTTTTTAAAATCATATATAATAGCAATTTTTTTAAATTTGATAACTGCTTTTTAATCATAGATGACAAAAAAGGTAATCATTATTTAATTACATAATTTGCCTTGAGTTTGTTATAACTGTGAAATTTGTGATTTTATTTTATAGCCACCATGAGAGTCGCCATATTCGGTTCCTCCTACGTGAAGCGAGCTTCAAGCTTTACAGACTTTGTCATGCCATTTGAAGTCGGGTGGTTTGGAGTTGGTGGGATAACAGCTTCTCAGTCTTGTCCAAATATCATCTCCAAGATGTTGAGGTACAACCCGGACATCGTTGTAGTGTGCTTAGGGGGAAACGACATTTCCAGTGGAGCCGAGGCGTCAACAGTCATTGACTGTCTGACGAGCCTTTTCGACCAAATTAAAGTCTTGAGTCCCAGCTGCAGACAACCCGAGATTTTCTTCTCAGAGATTGTTTCTAGAGGAAAATTTCGATTTCCTTTGCAGCGTGAGGAGTTTGATGCAAGGCGTAGAACTGTTAACAATAAGATGAAGAAAATCCTTGGCCGAACCTACATCAGAATAGATGTCAAATTTCCCAGACATTACCTTCCCGATGAGATCCACTTCAACGAGGCGGGAACAGTCCTCTTCTTGCTTTCAATAAGCAAGACCATCAAGAGTCGCTCCTAGGAGTTGACAATAAACGGCCCTTTTAAGGGCCATTAAATTATTCGAAAAGATACCAATGAATACAGACGTAGAAACGTCGCACTTAACGTATTTACCCTTTTATTTTACCAAACTTCTCGGTAAATGAAAAGGAAATACATACTAAACTTATACAAAAACACACATAGATTATATAATACACAAGCATAACTTATTTTTTCATAATTCCCGGACATTTCGGCACAAGGGTTAGTTGCTCGAACTTCTGTTTAAACTCGTCATATTTCGTTATATCTACACAAAACCCTTTAGTTAGACTCAAGCGGCAAACCACAATGTTCATGTTATGAGGCAACAAACTGACATTACTTGATCTGTTATTAATAAAATATATATTGTAAAAATCTACACATTAAAACAGTGCACGCAATATTGCAGGCGCGTATTTTATTTGAACAACCGATTTTTTTCATACATAAATTCAAAGTAGCCTTTACGAGACAATTACCGGTACTTAGGTTAAAGCACAACAAATATTTTGAATCTCTTTCTCTCTCTCAGACATATCTTAAGGGGGGTTTTGACCCCCCCAATTCCATCCAGATCCGCTAAGTTGCATTTCTCTTTATTTTGGCACACTATAAAAAAATGCTTTATCCTTGTCTGCTGCAGCATAAATTTCGTATTTGTGAGAAATTAAAATTTTACATATAACGAAAATCCTTATATTCTCTGCGCTTCAAAATTCGTCAATCAGGATTCGGTCAGATACAACATTGACACGATTATTTATTCAATTTTAATTTTTATTATACTCCCGCTTGAAAAGTGGAAGGGTATATAGAAATCGGTATTTCCGTCCGTCCGTCTGTCCGTGTGTTACGCTTTGGGGTACCCATCTCTTATCCGCAACTCCTCTCATACCACTGAAGGAAATTTAATGAAACTTTAACAGATTTTAATTACATATTGCCATTGTGTACCTCGTATTTTACTTTTTGATCTGACGTGTTTTTCAACACTTGTCACTTGTCCTTTTCTGCAGAAGTTGATCTCAACGGTTCATTTGCATTTCGTGCCAATGTTTTGACATTTGACGACAATGAAAGACTCATTTTTGATAATTGGACACCAGTGACGTATCAGAACTGGAATCCTAACGATGAGGGCGAGACAGCAGTTGACCCAATCTTTGGCCTCCTTTTGACTTATCATAACGACGGCAGGTGGCGCTGGGTGACTGAGAGAAACTATACGTACTATACAGGAGAAGACGGACTAAAACTTCCCTTTATTTGTGAGGATTCTCCATTTTATTTGGAGCCAGAAGAGTGTTCTGTACATAATGATTCATTCTCTTTTAATCAAAATAAACATTTGTAACCATTATCTTTGTTATATAATTTCATTAAGCATGGTGTATAAAGTTCTAAATCATTAAATGGAGTATTCTTAAGTTAACGTTGGATCGTATATTCGTCTCCTCGGAAGTCATCTAGATTTATCCTCGGATCGTACATTCCTCTCCTCGGAAGAGATCTAACTTTATCCTCGGATTGTATATATATATTCGTCTCCTCGGAAGAGATCTAGATTTATCCTCATGTTTTAAATAAACTATGAATAGCATGTACACAAAGACAGACAGTGCATTATATTGTTTCGTTATTTTCCCAAGGAAACTGACTGGGATCTCCTCTCACCATACAAACATTTTAGCACAAAGTGTTGTTTTTAAAATTTCTATCCGTAATCCAAAAAAAATAAGGGGCAAATGTATTTTCCTAGGACGGTCGGTCCAGTTGTCTGTTTGTTTGTTATTTTTTTTTTTCCTGATTTATCTGTAAGTGGTAAATCAGTTATATATATATATATATATATATATATATATAAACCAAAGTCTTCACATTGCATAATAGAGAATGACTTGTCATATTGAATCATTTATTTTAAAAGATGTAGTCTCATAATTGCAAAAGTATTTGCAAACATATTGATTAATGTTAGCTCGCTAAGTTTTATTTGCAAAGACAGTTGCAGATATAAGATAACATCTTTCAAAAAATAATGAAGAATCAGTGCTTATTTCTTTCTAACTCCTTGTCTTGTTCTGCAAATTTGATTTCTTTTTTAACTTACATGAATTATCTGTAACCTAAATAACAATGAATTTGAATGATTTCAAATTTTGGTTTTCGCTTATGACATTCCTCTTGCATGGTATTAATTGAATGGCGGACACCACAGTAAAACGTATTGCAAATGTGTCGGATTAAACAGGTTCCACTGTAATAGGTTTAGCAATAAAGCAATCTCCATCCTAATTCTCCGTCCAGACATATTCATTTATTAGTGTGAATAACAACGAATACTTCTAATTTCAAATTTATTACAACACATATGAAGTACATCTTTTACAGAATATATTCAGTAGAACAAAATTAAAATAATTTATTGCTTTACATAATCCTTCATACCCTGAAAACATATTTGTTTAGTCACTTGATGTCAAACAATCTTACAAAACAAGAATCCCCGTGATAAATGTTAAATTTAAAAACGTCTCTTGAATCAAAACGGATTCGTCTCATCGATGGATGATCTTTCGTCTGTTAAAAAAAATAGAATTAAATTAATGTTTCACAGAAATAAGAACATATTTCACTTTGAAAAACCTCTTATAACCTTTTGAAATTTTCACAGTAATACAAAAAGAAAATAAAAACTCTGTTATATTAGGATTTAATGATATTTACCTAATGACGTCTGACCATCATAAGAGTCTTTTTTATCTGTCTACTATCAGTCACTGTAGGATACCATGGGTACCAGGACCCCGGGGACCATTGACCGTTAAGGAAGGCTCGGACACATCTGTTGAACCACCAGCCTCCTCTGTAGTAACTTTCAGTAGCACAGTTACCTCCACTCCACCCGTTGTTATCCCTGTCTGGGGTACTGAAGGACATCCCAGACAGATCGAAACGAGAATAACCTGTGTTTAACATAGAGTCACCTGTAAAATAAAACAAAATCAATTACAGAGATAATGGATTTATATATCTTCAGTCTAATTGTCATTAATAATACTGAGGTACTTCGAAGATAGACGGCTTTAGGTGCTGGAAAGAACGATAATATTTATATAGTTCAGTCTTTTAATCCCCTATGTCTATAATACTGGCACCTGAAGAATTAGAGAAAATATGAAACAGAGATAATAATTATTAATTTATGTCACATTAATTTTAATACTGAAGTACGTCTGAGATACATAATTTAACGTGTCGTTTCCTGTAAAGAGAGATAAGAAATACAAGACAACAAAACACTGCGCAATTCACATAGCATTCTTTCTAGTGTAACAATAAACAACAGACGTGTTACACTTTTTAAGCATGGTATTATTTTTTTTTTTGGGAGGGGGGGGGGGGTAAAGGTCACTTAATAACGAGATAAGATATGGTGCATCTGTGAATGTTTTAAGATGTTAGATTTCCTATTAAATAAATGTAAATGTGTAAAATTTGGCTTTTAACCCTTTTTTTTTAATAATTATCCGAGCAAAAAATTTTTATCATCAAATTTTCTTGAACCTTTCGACATTTAAGATTAATGACGCACGGTAAACTTCCTACTGCGTAGCAGTAAAAAATGTGAATCATTGAAAATCAGACTAACATGCTCTGTAAACTTTTTCCGTATCAAATGTTAATTATCAAAAATCAGGAAACGCAAGCTGAATAACAATGTTGAACAAATGTAATTATTGGATTTATTTGTTTAAAATTAACGTAATTTTCCTTGTACATAAAATGTATAATTAGAAATTTTATCTACTTGACAATAACAAATTCAATATCTGATGAATACGTGAATGGTACCTGCAAGTGATATTCTGAAATTTTAAACATGTTTAATTAGCGTGGAATCAAAAACGTATACAGAATATCAGAAAAAAACACATCTTTCTCTTTTTTTCAACAACTTTATAACCTGTCAATACAGAAAAGTATTATTATGATGATATACGTAATTTGAACCTAATTTTAAGAACTTAACTTGGATACACTTACCTAAAGTTCCTGTGGCAGGTCCTGCAAGAAAGAGTTGATATTTCCCTGCTTCGTTGGAGACAGAGAATCGATCGTACATTTCATAGAGTGTTGTACCATTCTGGAGAGTGATGGATACATAAAGGGATGAGGTGTTTTCTTTCGTGAATTTATGGATTACGTCATTTCCTGTATTAAGATATATTTGAAATCATAAGTTCATCGAATACAATTAATTCTTTTAAAATCTATATGAATCTACCGTAATGAAAAATCAAATTATTTTACATAGCTGTAGACAATATTGCTAAATTTGGTCTCGTTAGAATATGCCGCTAAATGATATTCTTCTTTTCTATTTTTTTATTATTTGAAATATCAATTAAACACGATATCTTAATATCAAAGAACACACATTACCTAGTCTTAAATTCAGATCTTCATTAGGCATTATAATTTTTTACTTGCCGCAAGAATTTCTTCAAACTTTGAATGAATAAAAAGTTCTTATTTGAAACCGATTTACACTTACCAATCCAGACGTTCTGTTCTGGTGAACCAAAGCCATTCTTATAATCCGTCCAGTTCCTGTCAAAGGTCAAGGATCCGTCTACGCGTTTCTGAATGGCCTTTGAAAATTAACATGCGTAACAATTCAATATATTGCTTCGAAAAATCATAGGATCCATAGGTTATGATATAAACTACAATAAAATCCCACAATTCTTAAAATCATCGATACAAGGTGTGTTATATTAAGTACTTTTAATTCTAAAATAAACTAACTACCGTCCATCCCCCGCCCATTGTGTTCATATCACAGTACACACTAACGGGTATTGTTAATGTTCTGAAGGGGTATATATCATACACCCCTGTGATGGTTGTACCGTTTTCTTGAAGATCCTTGCAATCTTTGGGCATGCTAAAAAAATCTTAAAAAAAAAAATACAAGAAACTTAATAAAAAAAATCGTGTCCCCTCGAGAATGACCTAAAAAGAAACCCCAAAGAAGCTAAGAGAATGAAAAAAAAAAACCCCAAATATACATACCGTTATCCGAGTAGTATCTCCAGCCGGCCTCCTCAGACATACCAGACGTTAATCTTTTCTTGTGGGTACGGCATTTCTTCAGTTTAGGATTAAAACCAAAAAAGACGCACTCCCTTTGACAAATTGCGGCGCACTCAGTCAACGATTGAGCATTATTTTCCCCCAAAAGGTCATTGTTTGACTTCTTATCATTAAAGTCAAGTCTCGCTGCATATTTCTGAGAAATAATTGTAGCTTTAGATAAAGCTAAGAAGCCTACAATTAAAGTGATAACCCACTGATTGCTCATTTTTTGTTGCGCAAAAATCTGCCGCGTTCTCGTGAATCTGTGAAATTCTGCTAAATGGTCTTTCAACAGCCAGATATATATATCGTACCATAATCAATGTCTGAAAAGTGATTGGCTAACTGTTACGTATTCTATTTTTCACTATTGTTTAAGTATCGATTTTATTGAAGTTCATATGAATTGTCATGAAATATCATAAACGTTTATTTTGAAATTGCAATTTAAAATATAACAATGAAAGGTGTTCTGTTTTTAGTTTAGTTTTTTGTGTTATTTAGTGTTATTTTTTGATGTTGTATAGTGTTTTTTATTAGCTATCTTTAAAATATGTAATTTTGATATAAATTTTCCTTAATCAACTCACACTGAATGAAATTGGAAATCAGCAATTTTGTAAAATTCAAAGTAAAAATTATCTGACTCTAAGACATTATTAAGAATTTATTGATTTATTTCAACTTTGATACATTAGCCTCTAAATGTTAATGTAACAGTATACATCATCATTAGTTTATTTACTTTTGAATCTTATAGAGACGTACATTTGTAAAATACAGTTATCAGAGAATTCTATAAGAATGCTTTTAAGCGCGTTAACAACTTTTTTTTAAAAATGAAAAGTACTTACGATAGATGTTCAAAATAAAGAATCGTAATACGTTGTTAAAATGACATAGGCAGGCGTCAAGACCGGAGGGAGGGGGGCCTTAACCATTATATAGACAATGGTAATTTGGATTTACCTTACCCCCCCCCCCCCCCACACACACACACACACTTTTAATTTGCTTCCTACGCCCATGAATGAGACCCAGATTGGTGAATTTCTTTAAGGAAAGGGATTGATATAAGTTGTAAAACGTGTTTCCAAATCCTGTTTGTATTATATACTGTGTATATATGATGTCTAATTTCAATGACATAAAGTTAAAACTAAAATGGTGAATAGCTAATGTTGCACACGAATTGCACACTCATTATTTTAACTTAAAAATGGAAGTGGTCTTTGGGCTTGTAGAAATAATGCTTAACCTGCACATAGAAACAAAGAAACAAACATACTTGGTACAAACTTGGATATATTGGGTACATGTAAGCATGTCTTCACGTTTTCTCATCCAACAGTCACTCCCAACGTGTGTTCCTCGTCACCCAACGGTCACTCTCACCGTATGTTCCTTGTCATCCAATGGTCACTCCTACCGTGTGTTCCTTGTCATCCAACGGTCACTCCCACCGTGTGTTCCTTGTCATCCAACGGTCACTCCCACCGTGTGTTCCTTGTCATCCAATGGTCACTCCCACCGTGTGTTCCTTGTCATCCAACGGTCACTTCCACCGTGTCTTCCTTGTCATCCAACGGTCATTCCCACGTGTGTTCCTTGTCATCCAATGGTCACTCCCACCGTATGTTCCTTGTCATCCAACGGTCACTCCCACCGTGTGTATCTTGTCATCCAATGGTCACTCCCACCGTGTGTTCCTTGTCATCCAACGGTCACTCCCACCGTGTGTTCCTTGTCATCCAACAGTCACTCCCACCGTGTGTTCCTTGTCATTCAACAGTCACTCCCACCGTGTGTTCCTTGTCATCCAACGGTCAGTCCCACCGCGTGTTCCTTGCCATCCAACGGTCACTCCCACCGCGTGTTCCTTGTCATCCAACGGTCACTCCCACCGTGTGTTCCTTGTCATCCAATGGTCAGTCCCACGTGTGTTCCTTGTCATCCAACGGTCACTCCCACCGTGTGTTCCTTGTCATCCAATGGTCACTCCCAACGTGTGTTCCTTGTCATCCAACGGTCACTCCCACCGTGTGTTCCTTGTCATCCAATGGTCACTCCCAACGTGTGTTCCTTGTCATCCAACGGTCACTCCCACCGTGTGTTCCTTGTCATCCAATGGTCACTCCCACCGTGTGTTCCTTGTCATCCAATGGTCACTCCCACCGTGTGTTCCATGTCATCCAACAGTCACTCCGACCGTGTGTTCCTCGTCATCCAATGGTCACTCCAACCTTGTGTTCCTTGTCATCCAATGGTCACTCCCACCGTGTGTTCCTTGTCATAATCGAGCAAACAGAATTAAAAAAACAAAGAGAATTCAGTGTGATACAATCATAATGACGTAACAATTCAGTGTGATACAATCATAATGACCTAACAATTCAGTGTGATACAATCATAATGGCCTAACAATTCAGTGTGATACAATCATAATGGCCTAACAATTCAGTGTGATACAATCATAATGACGTAACAATTCAGTGTGATACAATCATAATGACCTAACAATTCAGTGTGATACAATCATAATGACCTAACAATTCAGTGTGATACAATCATAATGACCTAACAATTCAGTGTGATACAATCATAATGACCTAACAATTCAGTGTGATACAATCATAATGACCTAACAATTCAGTGTGATACAATCATAATGACTTAACAATTCAGTGTGATACAATCATAATGACCTAACAATTCAGTGTAATACAATCATAATGAGCTAACAATTCAGTGTGATACAATCATAATGAGCTAACAATTCAGTGTGATACAATCATAATGACGTAACAATTCAGTGTGATACAATCATAATGACCTAACAATTCAGTGAGTTACAATCATAATGGCCTAACAATTCAGTGTGGTACAATCATAATGACCGAACAATTCAGTGTGATACAATCATAATGACCTAACAATTCAGTGTGATACAATCATAATGACCTAACAATTCAGTGTGATACAATCATAATGACCTAACAATTCAGTGTGATACAATCATAATGACCTAACAATTCAGTGACATACAATCATAATGACCTAACAATTCAGTGTGATACAATTATAATCGCCTAACAATTCAGTGAGATACAATCATAATGGCCTAACAATTCAGTGTGATACAATCATAATGACCTAACAATATGTATATAAATGTCAGTTAACATTGGACCTAATCATAATTTATATTTTATGACACGGTCATTGTTAGAAACACAAAATTTACGAAATCTTCACTTTAAGCGAGCTATTGAATTATTTGATAAAGGAACATATTTCACAACATAGGCGTCGGAAACAAATTGAAAGGGGGGGGAGGGCTCATTAAAAGTGGGGAGCTAGAGCAACAAAAAAGGTAAACCCAATTTTCAATGCCTATATTACGTATATATTTGCCAAAAAAAAATAAGTTATACTTGTGTATTATGTACTTGATGTGTATTTTTATAGGTATTACGTATTTCCTTTTCATTTACCGAAAAGTTCGGTAAAATAAATGGGTATGTACGTCAAGTGCGACGTTTCTACGTCTGGGTTTTGTGTAGATACGACGAGTTTAAACAGAAGTTCGAGCAACTATCACTTGTGCCGAAATTTCCGGGAATTATAAAAAAAATAAGTTATACTTGTGTATTATTACTTGATGTGTAATTTTATAGGTATTACGTATTTCCTTTTCATTTACCGAAAAGTTCGGTAAAATAAATGGGTATATACGTCAAGTGCGACGTTTCTACGTCTGTATTCATTGGTATCTTTTCGAATAATTGAATGGCCCTTAAAAGGGCCGTTTATTGTCAACTCTTGATGGTCTTGCTTATTGACAGCAAGAAGAGGACTGTTCCCGCCTGGTTGAA